TGGAACGAAGTGAACAACGGAACAAATGACACTGCTGAAGATGTGTCACCTGGAAAGGCCACTGTCGAAGAAGAAACTCTACCTGGTTTTGAGAAGGGAAACAGTGAAACCCTTTATAAAGTTACTACCACTGATGTGACTGTTATCGACGATAGGACATTTCCTGATGAAACATATGAACCCCATATGAAGCAGAAGCCAATGAGACAAAGACCAGTACGGAAGAAGATACGTCCCGCAAAATTAAGAGACTTTGTTGAATTTTAATTTTGTGTTTGTAAATTCTGTACATTTAATTAAGTTATTGTTAATTATCTATTGGTTTAATGTAAGTGGCTATTGTTTGAGACGAACAATTCTATGGAAGGGGCAGTGTTATGACAGCGGAAGTCACGTGCCTGGCAAATAAAGCGGAGTTAATAATTGCAGATAGATGGAGATAGAGACAGATAATTGAGTAAAGTGAGCAGTAGTGACCATAAGTAAAGTGCGTGAATCGTTGTGAATTATAGCGTGTGCTTAAGTTAAAGTGACTGTCGAAATTAAGTGTGTTGCAAAGTTGTATTGAGAAAGAATAAACTAGTTTTATTTAAGAAAGGACTTGTATAGCTCAAGTTCCTCCGGAAGGATTTATACTTGAAAGTGGGCGAAATTATAGAAATAACACATTATTAATTTCAGGACTTTTGCTCGAATAGTTGTTTCTGTTAATTAAAATAAAATCAAGAAGTCGTACAAGTTACGAATCATATGAAACTTTCCAGTTATTCTTTAAATACAGAATATATAAAATTACATTAAAAATACCAAATTAATTGCGAAAAATGTTACTGTATTCGGAATATGAATCCGAGGATTCATGTTTTGCACCCTTGTCGTAGTTTGAGGCTGTGGGTCCGCTATAAGAATGTTGATCGAATCCTACTGTTACGTTTCTGGTTGTTAGTTAATTTTCCGTAAAAAATTCTTTCCGAAGAAACTTTAGCCATACAAGTCCTTTCTCAAATAAAACTGGTTTATTCTT